CTCTTTCTCTCGTCTCCCCCTCTCTCTCTCTCTCTCTCTCGTTGCTTTCACCAGCTCTCTCCCACCCCCTCTCTCACATCTCTCTCTTTCTCTCGTCTCCCCCTCTCTCTCTCTCCCCCCTCTCTACTCTCTTGTTGCTTCACCGCTCTCTCCCACCCCCTGCTCTCATCGATCGTCTCTCTTTCTCTGCGTCCCCTCTCTCTTCTCTCCCCTCTCTCCCCCTCTCTCTCGCCCCTCTCTCCCCCTCTCTCTTTCTTGTTGCTTTCACCAGCTCTCTCCAGCCGCCTCTCGTGTGAAACGACGCGGAGCGGTTTTCAGTGTCACCAGCCAACAGTCAGAGCTGTTTCAGGTCACGCCGCCAGGGGCTGGCACGTTCCGTGTCACGGGAAGGGAGAAACTGGCGCGCTTTTCAAGGTCACGCGATATTCGGGAGCGACTGTGAAGTGTCGAAGTAGTGCTGGGCTGATATTCGAAGCTTCGGCTGCTAACTGCAGATTCCGATCTGGGTTTTCCTGTCTCCCCGTTCCCTTTTTCTTTCATCTTCAATCCTCACCACGCCCTCCTCCTGTTCCTTTCCACTCTCCCGTTTTTTCTTTCCGCCGGGCACAGCTAACCGATAACGCGGTCGTCCTGACATCGATAATCGATAAAACGGTTGTGCAGGGTGCGGGCGAGCGATCGAGACGGAAAGCTAGCGCGCCAAAGAGAAAACAAAAGAACTAACCGGCGCAACCGCCTTGCTTAATTACACGTTTATACACACACGCAGACACACGCACGCACGAACGCACGCACGCACGCACGCACTGCTTCGCTCGTCTCGTGAGCGAACGGACGAACTCCCAGCGAATTTCCTACCGCAACGGCAGTGACGAACATTCCTACACCGGCGCCGCTGCGGTGACGACGCCGACGACGACGACGACGACGGTGACGATGACGATGTCGATGACGCCAATGGTGACAAGATTTCCTACGACACCGCTACGATGATGTGACGATGACGGCTTCACGTCCAGCGACCTCCAAATGACCTCCGACCATCGCTGCCTCAGATGCGACCCCCATCCCCGCGACATTTCCTAGGCGCACCTCGGCGGCGGCGCCCCCTAGAGGCGGTCGCGCACGACGTAGGAGGCGAGGCCCTTGACGTAGTGGTGGTCGAGGACCTTGCAGTGCGGGCAGGCGACGCAGCGGGAGTACTCGCTGAAGAACAGCAGCGGGTTGTCGACGCTCACCATCGCCCGCACGCAGCTGTTGCAGGTCAGTCGTTGCTGGCAGCACGGCAGTGCAGCGAAGATGTCATAGCTGTGAGCGAAAGAGAGACGAATAATTAGTTAGTGTGTTATTGTTTCGTTAGTTTATTATTATTATTATTATTATTATTATTATTGTTGTTATTATTGTTGTTGTTGTTATTGTTATTTTTTACTTATTTCTTTACTATCTTCGTTTTTAATTTACTTATATCTTATTTTGCACATTATTATAGTTTATCATATTTATCATGAATAATAACAAGAGTAAGATAGTAAGATAAAAGATAGGCCTAATGAGTTATTATCTTGCTATTGATCATATAACAAATAAGGAAATTAAAAATAATAATCAAAATAGGATAGTAACACACCAGGCCTAACGATGATCATAACAAGAAAAGCAACAATAACAACAACAACAACAACACAATAATAATATAATAATCACAATAACAACAACAGTAAGAGTAATAATAAAGATCGTGGGTACACACCTGTACATGGTACTCAGCAAAAAGAGATAGAGTGTGGAATCGGTGCCAAGAAGAGAGCCTTGTATGCGGCAGCACCTGCCAGTGAAAACTGTAAATCTCTTCACTAGCCCACTAGCCGAGTAGGGCGCAAGAAATTATCATTATGCTTACCTGTACATGGTTCCCAGTACGAGGTGCTGACCGCTCCAGACGCGCTTGCAGGCACGGCATCGCACGATGCGGTCTCCCTCCAGGCAGCCCATACACACAGCATTCAGATACATCGTCTTACCATCCAACGTCACCTACACACAGAAGTAAGTAAGTAAGTAAGTAAGTAAGTAAGTAAGTAAGTAAGATGAATCTTGAAAAGTAATATCTTGTTGTTAAAGTAATATACGTAAAACATGCCGGCGCACATGCGTACGGCACAGCATTACGATCAGTCACTGTCGCTGAAGTGGTCGTTGTCATATATGTAGTACTTCTACTTCTACTTCTACTTCTATACTGGACAGTCCCTAAGGAATAAACGTCCAGGGCTATAGCTAGCCATGGTGTGTGTGACCTAGCTTGGGTACAGCCAGGTAGTTAGCCTTTTTTTTTAGCCGAATGGCACGAGGTGTCGGCGAGTATGTCGCCTACGTCTACTCCCTAACCTTAACCCTAACACCCTAACCCTAACCATATCAAATAGTTACTTCGGGTACATATTATACGCCGCATTATACGACAACGACCCTTCGTGCGTCACTGTCAGACTGCAGCCTGTAGGCGTATGTACATACTACACATGCGTCTAAGCAGAGGAATTGCTCCGACCTGTGATTGGAGGATAAAAATATAATTCATGACGTTTCGTTTCACCGGTCATAGCCGCGCGTGTATTAGCCTATGAGCGATACCGCGCGTGCATATTTGCTAATTAATTAGACTAATCGTGCTTCAATAGACTCAAAATTCACAGAGATTAAGGCTAAGACATGTGTCTATAACAGCTAGAATTTATAGAAATGTAACTCAAATCGTTCGCTCCATATGATAGTTAGTACACGTTCCTACCGGTCATAGCATAATAGCGTATGCGGCGGGAGTGGGCGGGGTCTATTTTTATCCTCCAATCACAGGTCGGAGCAATTCCTCTGTTTAGACGCATGTCATACTACATGGTTCATGCATGCGTGGTAACAGGTAAATACGAATATAAGGCCAGAATCGCCCGTTTCATGGATAACATGATATGGGTGACAGTGACACATTAGGCTAAAACTATACTAACTAAATCGGTGTTTCCTCAAACCATAAACTTGTCCTTTTTTAATATTATGTAAATAGTAAGCATGGGGACGAAATTGCATCAATCTTAAAATTGCCTGAATTGTCGTAGGAGAATCTACACAAACCAAACGTACCAAAGTTTGTTAAACATATGATGGCTCTGGCTCAGAGATTTGCTAATCTCTATTTCCAGTGTGTTGTTAACTATGAACGCTCTTGCTAACAATTTAATGTTTAATGTTATGAATGTTGTAATTAATTGTTATTAATGTTTTTTACAACCTTTGTAATATTGTGGTTGATTATTGATGTGCACCTGTCTGTGGCAGACGGACACTGTCACAGGTCTGATGCAGTGTTTTCTCTACTTTCCATGATCGCTGGAATCGTCGTTCATCTACCGCTTCAATCGCAAACCGCATTCGTTCAAACTCGTTTCCCCTGCCGCGTCGCAAACAATACGATCAAACTTTCGGCATATCGTGATTGTTTGGATAACAAAAATCGCTCGGTGATGACGATGCGACGCATCACGTCGGCACGGCAACTGATGCGCGCGTGCTCTATCCACAAACAATGTCGTTACTATGCGACGAACTCGGGCGAGCAGGTAGGTGGCGAACAGTTACACGTGTTATTCTCAAACATCTAGTCTGGCTTGTGCAGCTTTCGTTATTACGCATTTCCGTCCCGTTCTAAAGAAAGATTTACGTGGCGAAGATGCTGATAGAATATGTGTTATAGTTTTTCTAATTGAAGGCATTAGCAGTAACTGTGGTTTAAACACAGGCATGCATATGAAATGTTAAAGTAAACGTGATGCTAGTTAAGAATTAATTGGGACAGTGAGAGCATATGCTGATTTCTATCATCCCAAGGTGGATAGCTGCTTGGGCTATTGCAAGCATGGTGTGTCTCCGTTGATATTACCCTCAAATGTTTTTAGACTGTACAGGAATTAATGACGGAAACCATAATGAATTAGAAATTAATGCACACTCATTGCGTCACCATCTCTGGTTTATGTGGGCACCCAGCTAAACATACATGTGCTTACCATTATATTTTCTTCTCGTCAGATATCACAGGAAGTAGCGAAATTGCTTGAACTAAAAGCACAGTTGGGAGATGGACCTCCACAGAAGTTTACGCTCAAGTGCCCCAAGGTAAAATCCACATAGCTAGAGATCTACAGTTGGAGGCCTGACAATAGCCCTATTATAGTTAAAGTTTAAAGTTAAATCTTCCCCACGCCTATGTGGAGCATAGGCGCATAGGGCAGTGCCTATCTCCGTTTCAGTAACCCTGAGGCCCCGCAGCTGCTTTCACAGTAAATGCTACAGTAGGAAATCCTACTATAGTACAGTACTACAGTACAGTACTACAGTATAGTACTATTGTACAGTACAGTAGTAAATCCTATTATATCGCCACATAATTCTGTTTAATGATTTTATTCTATTTCTGATTTCACAGCAGTGCTTTACTGCAAGTTTTTCCTGCTTATTGTGAATTAATGATTAAGTTATATAATAGTAGTTTTGTAGATTTAAAATTGCTATCAATACGTGACTAGAATTTGTCCTAACCCGAACAAATTGGGTAGTTTTTCGTTAATACTGCGCAAGCGTTTTCAATAATATATAAATGTGACCGTATGCTCCCATACTAGTGTAAGACTGTTAACACTAACAGTTGTTTGCCATGGTGTTGTTGTCTGCAGGGTACGCGAGACTTTGATTCTCAGCAGATGGCAATCAGAGATGCCGTTTTTAAGAAGATTGTAGAGTGTTTTAAACGTCACGGTGCTGAAACAATCGACACGCCCGTGTTTGAACTGAAGGTAAGTGTTTAAACTATTGGTTAACTAAACTGAATCATTCAATTCAAAACTGCGAATTGATTAGTAATTTGTTAAGGTAATGCTGTCCACCTACGTCTGAATGGCTCTAAGTAATTTACTCACTCTAGGGAAGGGTGCAAAAGTTTCTTCAAAAAGACACATCAGTTGTATCATACTCAAAAAACCTCTAAAACAGTCATTTGTTATCCTGGAAGTATTGTCATACTGGCTAATCATAATGGCTTATAGCAATGTTTCGATCATTACTCATCTGCATCCAAAGCTAATGTTTCTTTCACTATCTGTTGACATATAGGAAGTTTTGACAGGCAAGTATGGAGAGGATTCAAAGCTCATCTATGACATGGCAGACCAGGGAGGAGAAATTCTATCTCTCAGATACGACCTGACTGTATCCTTGCCTCGTCACCAATTATTATAATGACACCTGCTAGTCTGGTGGCTAACGTGCGATCGCGGTGTGTCCGCACACTAGAGCTTCATAACAAATTTCGTACGTCTTCTAATGATCGCGAAGAAGTTGGATTGTTTCTGTGAAATGGTGGGGGGGGGAGGAGAATGTAGTAAAAGATGCACATGTGCACAAATAGCTGGCCCTCCTTGCTCCTGCCACGAGTTCTAAATACAACCTAATAATAACCGTTTCTAAATACTTCATGCTAAGGTTTGCTATTAGCATACATGTATGTATTTTTATGTGAGCTGTGTGTGTGTGGACTCGTATTTCCTTAACTAGCTGCCTCTCTAGGTTCCGTTTGCGCGTTATCTCGCGATGAACAAGATATCGAACATTAAACGGTATCACATTGCTAAGGTATACCGGAGAGACAATCCATCTCTGGCGCGGGGACGCTTTAGAGAATTCTTCCAGTGTGTAAGTGACAGACAATCTAGTGCAGTCAATGACATGAAATAGCATGTGTAAAGGCACCCTAAAAGTGTCGTAAATCAATTCGATTTTTTCGTAAATGTTTTATAAAGACTGGTCACTTTTTGAAAAGCGCGAATAGGTAAACTTTTCAAGGAAAGCAATGATCATTGCGATCATTTGTTTTTTGTCAGGATTTTGACATCGCCGGGCAGTACGATCCCATGCTGCCGGACGCTGAGTGTGTCAAGATCGTTAGCGAGATCCTATCATCGTTAGACCTCGGAGATTACACGATAAAGGTGAGGCGGTGCCGGTGATGTGCGACGGGTTGACGATGTTTAGAGTAACCTGCACGGTGGGTTTGCATTTACTGTAAACAGTGCGACTGAGACATGCTGCCACCTCGTGGTAAAAATACTAAAATAAAACAATTATTGCTAGATTGTAGAATTTTAAGTCTAGACCGGCTGTTATTTATACTAAATTATGTAGGCGATTTTTTTTAATGATTTTACATGTACGTGGGGATCTGGCATCTACTAGTTGTCACACCCTAGGCACTTCGTTATCATGTCATTGTCCTGACGATATGTCTACAATTCTGTGTCATAAAGCTCTATTTATTATCTGGTTTGTTTCTGTTTATGAACTGCGCTGTTTATTTTCCAAGCAAGTAATGCTACTGGGATATTTTCCACTCACTTTTTCTCCCTCCCCCACCTCTGTCCAATCCTCTAGAATCGACCGGTAATCGTTGGGAGCGAAGCGACTTGGTTCGTGCGCACGCGTTTCGGTCGTTTTGCCGTGCTTACCTCCCGTCTTTTCTGCGCAGCTAAACCACAGGCAGCTACTAGACGGCATATTCCAGGTGTGCGGCGTGTCCGAGGGAAAGTTTCGCTGCATCTGCTCCGCCGTGGACAAGCTGGACAAGGTGAGAGAATGAACCCCGGCGCGGTAGCGACGCCGTTGTCACGAGATGATTTCAATGTCATGCTGGGCGACTTCGCTGTCTAGTAGCTTAATGGGAATTTCAAACCCCGGTTAGCAGTATGGATGTTACTGATTTTACCATCGACTGTCCGTTGCTCTTTCTGACTGATAGCGTAGTAACGTTGGTCACATGGTTGTCGTGGTAGTCGCAATGGGTGGACGTTGTTCTTGGGTTAATGACAGCATCGTAACGTGATCACGTGGTTGTTGTGGTAGTCGCCGTGGTGACAATGCCGTTGTCACGAGCTGATATCTGCATCATAGTGATTGACTTGAACTTCCCCTTCCCCCATTAGCTCATATAGCTCATTCCCATATTAGCTCAGTATTGAGTGTTGTATATGGAGGCGACTTGCCATTAAAGATAACAGAGTTGCAAGCTTGTTTTTTTTTCACTAACCAGATAGACTTGTTATTCGATCTGGTAACGCCACTAGCCATCCTCGAAAGTTTGTCAATAACACAAGCGCACTGTTAAATTATGCTCGTGTGCACCTGTCTTTTGTCATGTTATTTCAGATCTAGGACTAGTTATAGCCAAGTTACCACATTGTTCGCTTAGGCAGCCCAATAGAAAATGCACTAGCCACTGTCTAGTAGCGTAATAGGAATTTCAAACCCCAGTTAGCACTATGGATGTTACTAATTTTACCGTCGCCTGTACGTTGCTATGTCTATGTCTGTGACCGTTGACGTTGGGTGAATGATACAGTAGTAACGTGGTCGCGTGGTTGTTGTGGTTGTCGCCGTGGTAACGTGGTTGTTGCCGTAGTAACGTGGTCACGTGGTTGTTGTGGTAGTCACCGTGGTAACGTGGTTGTTGCCGTAGTAACGTGGTCACGTGGTTGTTGTTGCGTAGTCGCCGTGGGTGGACGTGCGGACGGAGATGATCGATGAGAAGGGACTCGACGCTGAGGTCGCCGATCGCATCGGAGAGTTTGTTCGGCTGTCAGGTGAGATGTGTTTGATTAAGATTTATAAACCTAATAAGCTATGTCTAGTAATACCTAGTATATACCTACAATGTCTAATAAATGTCTAGTAACAACTAGTATACCTGTCTAATAAATGTCTAGTAACACCTAGTATACATATAATGTCTCATCAATGTCTAGTAGTGCCAAGTACACGGCGAGCAATTAGTCATGGTGATGCGTGAATGCTACAGATAAAAAGAGTAAATAAGTAAGTAAGTAAGTAAGTAAGTAAGTAATTAAGTAAGCGAGAGTGTACCCCGCTACTGACTACAGAGTACACAGTAAAACAGAGAGAGAGGTCATGGCGTGGGGTCAGGCGACATGGCGCGGGGTTATGCGAGGTTGCAAGAAGGAGATTCTCATTGGCTAAGTTTAGATGGGCACTACCGATTCTTGCTTGGTAACTTAGACAGGCGCCAGCGATTCTCGCTTAGCGACTTAGACAGGCACCACCTATTCTCGCTTGGGAACTTAAACAGGCGCCAGCGATTCTCATTTGGTAACTGAGACAGGCGCCAGCGATTCTCGCTTGACAACTTAGACAGGCGCTGCCGATTCTTGCTTGGGAACTTAGACAGGCGCCAGCGATTCTCGCTTGGCAATGTAAACAAGAAACCGCAATTTTGTACTCGGTGACTTAGACGGGCGCCGCGGACTATAACACACCCTGCTGATTCTCGCTTGGTGACTTAAGCTGGGTTTACACTACCGACTTTATGTTAGCGAGTTGGCCAGTTGGACAAATTTCGCAAATCGGCAACTCCGAGTTGGCGAAAATAGAACATGCTCTAATCTCCCAACTAGTTGCTATCGATCGGTGGTCGCGCAACTTTTGCGTTTACACTGCCGATTGTATAGTTGGGAAGATGGTCCAATTCGCAAACAAAAAGTCGCGGTAGTGTAAACCCAGCTTTAGGGAGGATGATATACGACGGATGTACAATGCCATAATCTCAGCTACACGTAGATTCTCTATCATAATTCTAACACGTCATGTGAAACACATGCGTCTAAACAGAGGAATTGCTCCGACCTGTGATTGGAGGATAAAAATAGAATTCGTGACGTTTCGTTTCACCGGTCATAGCCGCGCGTGCATATTTGCTAATTAATTAGACCAATCGCGCTTCAATAGACTAAAGATTCACAGAGATTGAGGCTAAGACATGTGTCTATAATAGCTAGAATTTATAGAAATGTAACTCAAATCGTTCGCTCCATATGATAGTTAGTACACGTTCCTACCGGTCATAGCCTAATAGCGTATGCGGCGGGAGTGGGCGGGGTCTATTTTTATCCTCCAATCACAGGTCGGAGCAATTCCTCGGTTTAGACGCATATATGTGAAACCCAGCTTTAGACGGGCGCCGCACGCTCGTACCTGCATGATGGCGCTGTCGTACTTCATGGGGCTGAGGAAGAAGGTGCCATCTATGAGCGGGTAGCGGTCGAACACCATGAGGGTCTGTGAGCAGACGACGCAGCCGACGCTCTGAATCTTACACAGACTCAGGTTGGAGAGGATGAAGCAACGTGTCTCATCGTTACCTGCGTAAAACATTATATATATATATATATATATATACATACATACATACATTACTAACATAGATACACAGACTCAGGTTGGAGAGGATCAAGCAACGTGTCTCATCGTTACCTGTGTGTCAGAACAAAACAATTTACATTATATATATATACAAACACGTATACACACACGCTTGTACACGCACGCACGCACGCACGCACGCACGCACGCACGCACAGAGCAATTAGTCATGGTGATGCGTGAATGCTACAGATAAAAAGGGTAAGAAGAAAGAGAGAATGAGAGAGAAACAGGGAGCGAGTTGAAAAGAATGGAAAACTGTTCATGGAGTGTTATTTTGGTGGTGTGCGTGGATGTGGTGTTATTTTGTCTGCTATCGATGCACAAAATCCCATCTCTGACCTGGACACTTTGTTTGCACTTGTAGGTGGCCCTGAACTGGTGGAGAAGCTAAAACGGGACGAGCGTGTTTCGAAGAACAAGCGATTCATGTCTGGTTTGGAGGACATGGAGCTCCTGCTAAAATACTGTGATCTGTATGGTGTGCTGGATAAGGTGAGTGGCGCAATCTACGTGCAAGACTCGTACGACTCGGCGTGTGACATTTTTTCGAAGCTACAAGATATCGTATGTTGAACCGTGCCTTTTATATTTATTTTTTAAATTTTTGTTTGTTTCCAGGTGTCGTTCGATCTTAGTCTGGCACGTGGTCTAGATTATTATACCGGAGTCATATACGAAGCTATTCTCAGTGGAGGTGAGTAATAAATTCCGTACCCCGTCTAATCTAAAATTCAAATCTAATCGATACAAAAATTCATTCTATTAATATAAATAATTTATCGGGTTGCCTCATCATCATTCAGGCGCGCCCGAAATCGTGGCGAGTGTGTACTTACCATGGCTTTTTCGATTGCTCGAAACTCTTACTTTTCTTTTTCGATTGCTTCTCTTTTCTTACTTTTTTTCTACGGTGCCCCTTCTCTGTCTCTTTCCAGCTGTCCAGAAGGACTTGTCGTCCACGGATGAACCGGGCGGCGTTGGCAGCATAGCTGGAGGCGGCCGATACGATGAGCTAGTCGGCATGTTCGACTCTAAAAATAGGAAGGTTCCCTGTGTCGGAGTGAGCATAGGCATCGAGAGAATATACGCAATCATAGAGGCAAAGGTCAATGTAAGTGAGAAACGAATGCCAAGGTCGTCTTAACTCGCCTTTAGTTTTTAAAAGCTCTCTGGTGTGATAAATTCCATCGCAAGCATCTACTAGTGAATGCCAGAACTGGTTTTAGAAATGGCAGCCCATCCCTCTGGTCCAGGACTGGTAAACCTTTGATCGGCGCTGGCTCATTTTCCTGGATTTTGCTATTGGTTACATCGTAGAAATTCAAATCTGAGTTTTAAGACTTATTTCTAAGTCTGCTGCCCAGAAATTGACCCGCAGTGGCGATCGAAGATTCGAAATAGAACGTACTGCAGTTATGATTCAGATCCGCGTAAACTAGATAGATTTGGAGCCTTTTAAGACGTGTCTCACGAGCCATTGAGATCGTTCTTAGTTTAAAATGCTCGCAGATGCTACGTAATGTCGAGCCGGCTTACGGCCTGTATATGTAGTACTAATGAAAGCGTAACGAAATAAGGCCTAATATATGTACGGCCATATCTAGTAGCGCGTTGACTTACGGCCGACTCGGTAGCTGATTGCTGCACTGCTTACAGGCGTCCAAGGTCAAGCAGAGGACGACCGAGACGGAGGTGTATGTGGCTGCTGCACAGAAGAACCTGCACGAGGAAAGGCTGGCGCTGTGCAATATCTTATGGGGTGCCAACATCAAGGTAACAGTGCCGGCCTGCAGCAAGCTTCTTCTGTTTGGATTTCTTTGGACAGCTGTTTATAATGGGAGACGTCTATATGTGGAGAGAGAGAGAGAGAGAGAGAGAGAGAGAGAGAGAGAGAGAGAGAGAGAGAGAGAGAGAG